AGTCGGGAACGGTCAGTGTTTGTATAAAATTTCGTCATACACATCATTCCCTATGCACGATTTCTATCGTTGCCAAACATGCAATACAACAGATCGCAATGCAATTTGTGTGAACTGCATAAAAACCTGTCATGCTGGGCACGATGTAGAATTTATTAGACACGATCGGTAAATATTGATAATATTGATATCAACCAAAAGAAATGTATAATACTAAATATGTTATTGGAAAGCGGCAAATGATAATATGTATATAATATGTGTATACTTTCAGATTCTTTTGTGACTGCGGTGCTGGAACATTGAGTAATCAGTGTCAACTTCAGGGTGAACCTACTCAAGATACAGATACATTATATGATAGTGCAGCACCAATGGAGTCACATACACTTATGGTCAACTAGGAACTAACGTAAACTAAATAAAAGAATCAGTCGACACTGAATCTGTAAGTCCAACATGTTGCAAAGAAGTAATTTATTGCAGAGTTCTTTATTATGACACTTGTTCCTTTGTGTCCCTCGTTGTGATTGTTATTTTGTAAAGCTACCGTTATTGTTAACGTATTACAATTGATAATTTCATCGTCGTTATCGTTAGTTAATTCATTTTCATTACCATCGCGATGAATAAAATTATCACGTCATTATTTCATTATTTTGTAAGATTAACCGTGTAAGTCACTCAAGACAAAGCTGAAATATTTTCAAAACGATTAATTATATAAAAAAAATAATTTAGACGAAAAGTCGAATGGTTTCGGAAGGACTATCAAACATAAAGAAAAAGAACAAGCTGGATCTTTAAATGTGCATCCATATTAAAAAATGATAATTATATGAGTTAATGCCCCTCTAGAAATTATTAAATTTTTTGTCCAAAAAATTTCTTAATATGATCAATCGTTTCAAAAATATCTGTCTCTAGTCTTGGACGATTCATCCGATACTCGTGTAAAATACAAATTCTAGATCATCGTTTTCATCTTCATCGTCGTTGTTATTATCATTATCATTGTCATCGTCGTCATCATTATTATCGAGGGATAGTATACTTTTTATTTAAAAAAATTCATACTCTCTGTTCCAATGTATATCTTAATACGAACAGATATATGTCAGTAAACATATTCGTGCTCGATCAGAGATAAAGGAACATCTTCTATTTGTAATTTCGTAATACGTCCATTGGAAGGAAGAACAATTGCAAGCAGATTGTTTTCTTCTCTCTTTTGCTTTTTTCATTACTCCTTGTTGAAAGCGACTTTAAAAGATCAAGATTCTGTTTCTAACGATTATATAATAAAGAACTCCGCAACGAAAAGGGGGAAAGAAAGAAAAGAAGAAAGATGTCGATGATCAAGAAATACAAGTGACAATGGATTTCTTACGTAAGCAAGCTATTAATTAGATAACATCCAGTTTATTTAAACGTGTCAAAAAAACAAAGTACTGCGGTTGAACGTTAATTGACAACCGGAGACATGCCACAAACTCTTTCATGTGACTCTTTTCATCAAATCACCTTAATCCTTGACTTCGCGTGTAAAGCAAGACACAAGTGCAGTGAACCTGTGAAAAGTTAAGTTAAAAGGAAGAAAAAAAGAACGCGTATATGAACACGTGACAGTCGTGACAAGATATATCAAGAAAAACTGTTTAAAAACAATGAAGAAATCCGTGCAACATTGATGCATTGATAAGGAGAGACAGTTCTCTATGCTTCACGGTAAAACACAGTGCCGCGTATGTAAATTGTGTATAATCGTATGGTTAATAAACGCGAATGGGCAGTAACATTAAACAAATGACATTAAACGAATGTTACTCGAAGAAGAGAAATCTATTAACATCAAAATAAAATTGTGAGGAAGACACGTTACAAAAGATTTATACTCAGAATCGAATGAAACTTAATACACTAGTGCATTAAGACAGGAGAAAAACACGAAAAAGGTGAATATTGTGTATTCATACCAATGTATGAATTGTAGGTTATAATAATCAAGTCGGATAGCTCGAGGATTAAATATTGGAAGAAGGAAATAAATAATTGGCAACGCTCGCGGATAAAAAGAAAAATAAAAAGAAAAGAAAAGAAAAAAAATAAACGAGGGAATCATGTGTATTGCTTTGATAAATCTGTGGTACAAATTTTTCGAAGCGGGCGAGTAAAGCAAAAACGAAGACCGATAATGACATACTGAAACGGATGTCTAAAAATTGTGATATGTAAAATTCACAACTGGAATAATCAAAATGAGAACTGAAACATCTATACAATTCTAAGAATCATTTTTTTGCAATGTAAGTGTACCTCATAATACACACGTACAGTTCTACAATTCAGTAAAATAGTGAATATTCCGAATATTTGTGAATAAGTGCTGGCTCTAAATTGCCCGATGGGGGAAGTGCATAATAAAACGTAATATTTAAAGAAGCAAATTTAAAACAAATTTACGTGAAGCAACGTTTGGTGTAATACCAGTGAAGAAAGGGAGGGAACGACGAGTTTCAAAGAAAGTCGGAAACATAAAAAAAAAAAATAAAAAATAAAAAAAAAGAAACGATATACTGTCAAACGAACAGTTCAAAAAGGAAATAATCTCCAATTTTTAAAAATAATCAGATTTTTTTAATATTATGTTAGCGATAAAGTCTAATTATATTATTATTATAATTATATGTCAAGAGCCGCTGGCTCTTGTGCGAGAAGAAAAGTGAACAAAAAGCGCCTATTAGCGATAATTTTTAGACGCAACATCTATTTACGCAAACGATGAATTACAAAACTTAAGTAAACTCTACGCACTACAGAATCATCGCGAATGACAAAAAAAAAAAA